AGAGCTGTAATTCGTATAATTATTTTACATTATATTATGTGGTATCTTTATTAGCCAGCAAGACATTTCACAACTGTTGTGGCATTACTTAACATCATCATTAGCTTTATTGTGTTCCAAGTTGCTTGAATCTGAAGATTCTATGGTGCATTGGCTAAACAATTTGAACTGTTCAATACAATCTGATCCCTTTGGATCTGCTTCACTGTAGAAGAAACATGTAAAAGCACTCTTGAATGTTTCAGCACATGGACCATCAGCCATTCCATTTAGGCATGGACAATCCCAATTGATGTCACCTTCTGGCGTAATAATTCCATCAATATCTTCAGTATCAGGAGAAACTTTCTCTATTTGGCTGGGTGACGTTAGCTCCTCAGTAGTAGTAAATATTATATAGTCTTTCTCTTAAAGCAAAGTATGTAAATAGAATAAACGATACTTCAATACTGAGGACTTAGTCACAGAGCTAAAGTCATATTAATAATACGTTGTTACCATTAAGACAAGCATGCTCCAATACGCGTGTATTTGCTACAATGTACATAATTTCATTCGCTTTTGATTTTTATGACTATCAAATTGGCATAAGCCTTTAGTAAATTCTAAGTAATGTTATTATTAATTAATCATAATTATATATTTATAAGAGGGACACTGTACCGTACTCTACCACTGTAAGAATTATATCCAATAAGTTGCAAACCGTACTTTTATGCGTACATAAATATAATGTTTAGAATATTATTACTTATATACTGGTATACACACTGTAAAATACGAGTACCGTATCATTAATATGCGTACTGTACTGCACCGCATTGATGTGGTCAGCCAAAAATGCATAATTAAGTTATTATACAGGTAAGAAAGGTAATGGTATAATTCTAAGAGTTGAATTATAATTTAATTTAATTTAACGTAAGAGAACTTAATCACGTAGATGCTATCTAAAGCAAATTGATTCAATGTAACTGCCCTAATATTGCAGCAGTGGTCTGCACAGACGCTGGACTGAACAGCAGCAGGTGTGCACGCGCTTGCTAACTGCAAATGGTGATTCAGATTACTACTCGTAAAACCGTAAAAGTTTACATTAAAACGCAGTATAAACATAGCCATGATTTAGATTTCATTCGTAAAAGCTACTTGTCAAGATAATTTCTAAGAAGAAAAGAAATCAGTGTGAAATACCTTCTTTTCTGCAGTACGACATCGTCCAAAATGAACAAAATAAAGGAACGACTTACATTCAGAATTACTGTAAAATGAATAAAAACTAAACTAAAAACTAAATATGAGTACAGTACTATTAACTGTACAGTACAGTACAGCACAGTACAGTACAGTACATTGAACAAGTACGGTAGTGTACAGTACTGTACTGTACAGTACAGTACACCGTTAAAATCATTAGCGATGCGACAGGACATGGTACAGTACTGTACAGTACATCATTTTTAAAGCGGGGAACACGGTAACTGTACTGTACTGTAGAGTGGTAGTGGACCACTACTGTACCGTGCTATACTGTACACTGTACTGTACTGTACAGTATGCTTCTACGCTGTAGCGTCTACGGTGATGTACTGTACAGTACAGTACAGTACATTATAGTAGGGTAGACTGTACAGTATACAGTACACTAGTACAGTAGAATACGGTATTTACCGTAGTACTGTACAGTACAGTACTACAATTTCTGAATCTCCTGACTGATCAAAGATTCACACTGCAGTAATAATAATTTAATAATTTTCCAGTTAATTTTAATTTTACGGTTAATCCATTCTTGATTTTGACACCCATACTGTACAGTATATCCAAGGTAGTTTGATAAACTACAACCTTCTTCAGCTTTACTGTTATTTGAATTCGTTTGGCTTCTGGTACTGCGGATGCGATTAACTTAAAAAGAGTTTCATCTAATGTAATACGTACAAATCGTAATTTATATTTTCAGGGTACCCATCATGCCATTTAATTTCGCCACTCTGGAATAGCCAGTAGGCATCAAGTGCCTTCCTTGTCTGGTTGATACTGTACTATAGCGGATATAGCGGATACCTCGCCTGCTCTTATCGTAACTACTATACGTTAATGATATCAAGAAGATGAATAACGATCTCAACCGAATTATCTATAGAATTTCTATTTCTCTAATCATTTGTACGACATTGGTATTTGAAGCTTACGCCTCTAGTGGTAAGTACTGTACCGTGAATGCACTACATTAGACGGTATACTCGTACACTAGTGCTATACGAGATAGTATTACAAATAAAGAATATAAAAATTATCAAATAAAGTAAAATTAATTAATATCCCCTATCTTATTTGTAACATACAAATCATCGATACAAATTATGACATAGTTTAGTTCTTTTAAGGCAACTCATTTAATAATTGTACTGGA